ACAATACAATACAATACAATACAATACAATACAATACAATACAATACCGGCCACCTCGCAGAAGGTGAACAGGCTGGGAGAGGACCTGTCGGCACAGGGGTGGGTGTCAGGGATACTCAGGGTTACAGTGCCCTGCACAGCGTGAATGTAATGTGGAGGATTGTGGGAAATGGGGGTGATCACGGTGGTGAGGCTGAAGAGGCCCTGGACATAACCCCTCCCATGATCTCTATCTAGAAGGTAGAGAGAAGCAGACTGTTGCCTCTTCTCTTCCTTGTTTTCCTCTCTAGAACCTGCCTAGTGTATTTTGGGAGAGAGGAGAGCCACTGGATTCGGCTGTCGTCCCCTCTGAGCCCGCACACCACTCTCCGGATGCAGACAGTTGCTGCAGATGTCTTCCCGTTGCAGAGTTGTTTTTTTTTTTTAATTTTTATTTATTTATTATGTATATAGTGTTCTGTCTGCATGTATGCCTGCAGGTCAGAAGAGGGCACCAGATCTCATTACAGATGGTTGTGAGCCACCATGTGGTTGCTGGGAATTGAACTCAGGGCCTCTGGAAGAGCAGTCAGTGCTCTTAACCTCTGAGCCATCTCTGCAGCCCCGTTGCAGAGTTTCTGTTTACACTGTGTGCAGATGTGTTGCTGCGATTGGTTTAATAAAGACCTGACTGGCCAATAGCTAGGCAGAAGAGAATAGGCGGGACTTCCAGGCAGAGAGGAACTCAGGAGATGAGTCTAGGCATGCATGAGACAATGGCAAGATGCAGAACAAGTTGAACATACAGAATGGAAGAGAGGTTAAAACACACACACACACACACACACACACACACACGGCAGAATGTTATAAGAGCTAGTTGGGAACGAGCCTAAGCTAAGGGCAAGCATTCCTAATTAATAAGTCTGTGTCATTATTTGGGAGTGGGCAATCCAAAGATAGTCCAATAAAACATGCTACACTTCTCTCCATCCTACCCCACTCTCCCTCCTACCCCGCCCTCCATCCTACCCCACCCTCCATCCTACCCCGCCCTCCCTCCTACCCCATCCTCCCTCCTACCCTACCCTCTATCATCCTGCCACTCCCTCCCCCACCACTCCTGATGGCACGCATCTTCTTTCCTTCCCACACTCGGTGCTCGCTCACCTTCTCAATGATCCCAACCACCCTGCATCCTCTCAGCTGCTCCAGAGCAGAGCTCAGTGTGCGGATGGGCCGGAGCCTCAGGCTGCTGAAGCCCTGTGGAGGAAGGAGACAAGGCCTCAGCCATGGCTGCCTCAGCTTTGGCTGTGGGCAGACGCATCTGGATGCCAGGAGAGTACTGCATTGGGTAGGACTTGGAGCCCAGGAAGACCCTGCCTCCCAGGGACAGACTGGGCAGAGGAGGGCTCCTGACCTAGAGTTTGGGGGCACACTGGTTCAAGGCACTCAGGCTGACTTTTTGCTCAGCCCCTATCCGGTTACGCTGGGATTGTTTCTTGGGGACATAGACGCTCCTTCTCAGAAGCCTTGTCTACAAAAGGCAGATGCTCTCAGGGTTTGGGGTGGTAACATTCAGGTCTCAGCCTCAAAGTTTAGACAGCTTTTGTGAAAGGACGCAGTGAGCCGAGGAGCGTGCAGGTCTGCAGCCTGGAGAATGCGTTTGGTCAATGAGTTAGTAGCAGAAAGAGCACCAAATGCATAGTTATTCATGTGTGTGTGTGTGTGTGTGTATGTGTGTATGTGTGCGCGTGTGTGTGCATGCGCACACATTCCCAAAACTTATGGTGTGCCTACTCAACAGAAACAGAATCCAGAGGCACTGAGTGTACATGTGGGAATGGCATAGAGTCACATGCAAACTGGGGTGGGCATCTGTGTCATGCATGCCAAGTGCTCTGTGAGGCTGGATGAGGTGCGAGGGTGTGGGAGAGAGAGGAAGGATGGGAGGGCGCCCCTGGCTCACACTTGGATTCACACCCTCCACCACCCACTCTTCCCTAAGCAGGAAGGGAACAGGGGTGGGAAGCGGCTGTTTCTCCCCGGGTCTTCCTTCTCTTCCTTAGGGATCCAGGGAGGGTCTCCTCACCGTGTCGGGACTGGCTCCGCTGCCCAGGGTCCGCTGCAGGTGGCAGTTGAAGATCTCCTCTGCCCTCCGTAGGTACTTGGTAATTTTCAACTTTACAGCTTCACGTCTCTCTTTGTTAGGGTCAACTGTGGGGGGCGGGGTCACCATCTGTGGTCACCAGGACTGCACCCCTGCCCTGTGTCCTGGGCTTTACTGGTGGACTGAGATGCCAGCTCCGGTTAGCGGTCTCTGCCTATCACAGCCAATGGCTCCTATTTCCTAGACAATTTTAGCTGGCTCATCCCCTGGCTCCTTCTCTGGGGCGAGAGCAGCAGCTGCCAATTGCTCTTTACAGCTGGTACCCACCACTTCACTAGCTGTCCTCATATCCTGGGAAGGAACGAGGTGGAGATTTGCATGTCCTTTTCCTTCAGAATAGGAGAGAGAAGCTTCTGGAATACAGTGCTTCCTCTGTTTCTGCCAGTCATGGAAAAGGCCAGGATGGAGACCAGACCAAATGGAAGAGGCATGCACCAGGCACTCCTGCAGCCCAGGCATGGTAGAGTCTCTTCGACAGAGGGTTGGAGTGACCCTGGTTACCATAGCTTGGCCACAAGGCTCTGGCATCTCAAACTGGCCTCAACATGGAAATGCCTCAATCTGCCCTGATCAGCTCTCCCCTCTCCTCCATAAGCCTGGACCCCCTCCCCCTCTTCGGAACACTTGCCAGTCTCTCCACTGGACAACACACATACTGTCCCTCAACAGCCCCATTGGTCCTCACGTCTAGAAAATGTCCCGTGCTAGGCCCATCTGACCTCAGTTTTCCTCTTCCCCTACACGCTGTCCCCATGCAGGACTATAATTACATATCCACTTGACAGTGAGCCCTCTCCTGTCATCTGGAGTGCAAGCTTCCAGAGGGCCACTGCCCAGCCCAGCTCCATGGCCAGCCAAGAACAGTGGGCCAAGGACACAGCCACAGGAGCTGAAACATTCCAACTCTCCATGTGATGTGGGTGGCTCTTCTGTCTGTGTGTTACTTTCATTGATTAAATAAAGAAGCTGCCTTGGCCTTTTGATAGGCCAACCTTTAGGTGGGTGGAGTAGACAGAACAGGATGCTGGGAGAAAGAAAGCAGAGTCACGCGGACGCCATGGCTCTCCTCTCCAAGATGGATGCTGGTTAAACTCATGCCGGTAAGCCACAGTCAAGTGGTGATACAGATTATTAGAAATGGGTTAAAAGAATATGTAAGAGTTAGCCAATAAGAGACTGGAGATAATGGGCCAAGCAGTGTTTAAATGAATACAGTTTCCGTGCAATTATTTCGGGTGTAAACTAGCCAGGGAACCTGGCAGTGGGAACGCAGCCTGCTGCTTCTTCTACACCCATGTACCCCTTGGTAGCCGAGGAGCCTGTGTGGACCCTTGAGCAAGCTCTTTGATCACTCTGTGTCTCAATTTCTTCATCTGGAAAATCCTGTATGAAAATTAGTTCTTGCCCAGAGTTGAACACATTGTAGTCTGAGCAGTCAGGAGGCTGAGATAGGTAATAGTGAAAGGCCTGTCTCAGATCATGATGATAGTAATATTTCCTGTATATTTGTAACTACATGCAATTAAAAAGTCTATGAATGTGAAACTCAAATGAGTTACTATAGGTAAATCCTAGTGGGGTCTGCTATGTAGAAATGCCTTAATAAATTCAAGTTCTCATTATTGTCCCTCATGGAGGCCTGGTAGGGTTAGTACAGTGCCCTAAACCCTTAGTATGGACAGACAAAGGACCCTTCACTGGCCCTTCCCTGCCCACCTCTGTCCCCGCGCATTCCCGCCCTCACCATGTACGCCTCGGAGCAGCACGTCCACACCGTTCTGGTAGTGGTTGAAGGCAGCCTCGTAATCCTCGCTGACATCTCGCTCCAGGGCCAGGTGGATCTGAGTGGCTGCATCTACCAGGTAGTCCCGCTTGGTCACGTCAGGAGTCCCAGCAGCTACCCGGTTACGGATCTGTTCCAGGTACAGGCAGGCCTGGGACAGAGCTCGCGAACAGGGCTCTGGCTCCGGACCTGGGCCATGTGGACATTCACAGGCTACCAGGCTCATAGCGGCCCCGCAGCTGTGACCTGCAAGAAGCAAGCAAATGCATTAGGGAGGCGCTTGCTGGGAGTCACACCCCTACCTGGATTCTAGAGTCCTCCACTAAACATCGGAGAGCCTAGTATTCTCATACAGAGGCTGGAAGGAGTCGAGCTAAACGTTGGGAAGGCTCCTTCCTTGAGCCGAGTCCTACCTTAGGGGTGGTCATGATAGAATAACATAGTTGGACCCTTTCATTTCCTTTCCGTTCAGATTCAGCTCCTCAAGTCCTTCCTCAGGATGCTGGGTGGAACACCGAGAGCTGGGGATGCCTGTGGCCCTCAGCCCCCTTCAGGGGGCGTCCACAGAGCAAACTCAGTGTCTTGCACACAGTAAGCATACCAAAGGCACACACTGGCGCAAAGCTCCTCCTCCCGCTGGTCCCCCACTTCACTTCTCCCCCCTACTCCCTGCTTTCCATGTGAAATTTCATCCAGCTTTGGGCTTCAGCTCAGTGGGATCTCTCCCCTAGACAAAACACATTGTCTAGGCTTTTTGTTAGCTTTGCCCCTGAGGTCAGGAGTCGGTGAGCGAGGAGGAGTCCCCTCATCTCCCAAGCACGGAGCAGGGAATGCAGAGCTCATCAAACCCCATGGGCAGATAAGATGACTAAGTGACAGTTAACGTGGAGTTCAGTGACTGCCAGCGTGAGTCGTTGGCTTTTTCCTCCTGACTCTCAGAAGACCAGGAGGCCAGTGCGCCCTCCCAAGGACCTGACACCAACCCCTCCCTAAGCAACGTGTGACACCAGTGGCCCAAGGGATTAGAGTGGCAGCTGCCAGAGGGGAAGGGACAGAGAAAAAGCAGCCAGCAGCAGGGTCTCTGTCCCTCACAGCAGCCCGGCAGCCACCTCCGCTGTCTCAGGTACCTGGAGAATGACTAGGGGGAGTTTTTATCGCACGGGATAAAGGGAGAGGTGGGGAGCAAACACATCTTCAAGCAGCCTGAACCTGTGCCTTGGCCAGGATGAGGACGGGGATGGAGAAAGGCGGCCTTCCTGCTCTGCCAGGCCTAGCGGGACAGATATCTTCGAGGCCTGAGCTCGGGGTGACTAACGCCTGCTGCGCAGGGCTGCGGGTTTCGGGTCCAGCCAGCTCTCCGAGCCGCATGCCTAAGACTACAAGCAAGCACGTCCCGGGCGCACAAGGTGCATCAATCTGGGGAACGTCCAATGAGGTCGGGCTGAGGCAGGGAGGGGAAGGCTCCTCCTTGCCTGGGAGGATGGCTGAAGAGCAGAGCAAACACTGTACCTGTCCGCGTGCCAGCTCCTGGCCTCTGGGCTAATGCTGTCCCTTCACCTCCGCAAGGATCCGTGCCTACCACCCTTCTGCAGGTGCCCGAGGGGAGGGGGTGGGGCGTCTAGCCGGGTGCTTGCTGGCCATTGGCTACGGATGAGCTCATCCTCAACCCGTTAGAATAAACCTCCAATCATCGTCCTCCTCGGCTTCTGACGGCTCTTAAAGCCCTAGAGTTTGCTTGGCCCCAAACTGGGACTGGGGCGGGAGTGAGAGTGGGAATGGGTGGGGAGGGATGGGGAGGAGTGAGTGTAGGATAGAGGGAAGAGGTCTATTGTCACCCAGGGAGACAGGAGGGGCTGCCCCAGACCTCTAGGTGCACCACACCTCTTCTGAGACTTCTCATTCACTACTTCAGTTAGGCAATGTTTCTTGGTTGGGTGTGTCGTCTGTCCCAGGGCCTAGGTAGGGATGCCTTGAGGGCCTCGACAGATATGCCTAGGTCTTTCTGGGCGTTAAGGTCAAGTTTAGGGTACTGAGTTGAGCAGCACAGAAGGCTATGGCCTAACCTGGAGTCAGAAGGGCATTTCCCAAGGAAGCCACATCTGACTCGAGCCCTCTACCTGTCGAAAGCCACACTGCCCTTCGCTATGGCCTGTCTCTTTGATAGCTTTCCGCGACAGTATCCTCTGACTCCTCTTCCACACGCCCTTGCACCCAGAGCTGTCACTTTCCCTGGGGATTGACGTCGCCAGTCTCAAACTGCAAGCACTTTACCCACTGAGCCACCTCACCAGCCCCCAAGTTATCTCCTTATTAATATAATAGGACATCTGCAACCCAACACACAAGAACAAAACTAAAGGACTGAAGAGATGGCTCAGTGGTTAAGAGCGTTGCCTGCTCTTCCAAGGTCCTGAGTTCAATTCCCAGCAACCACATGGTGGCTCACAACCATCTGTAATGGGATCTGGTGCCCTCTTCTGGCCTGCAGACATACACACAGACAGAATATTGTATACATAATAAATAAATAAATAAATAAATAAAAATTTTAAAAAAGAACAAAACTAAAATATAACCTGTAGAATGGGAAGGAATGTTTGAAAATCATGTATAAGGGTCTGGTATCCAGAACACATAAAAGAATTCTTAGCCGGTCAGTGGTGGCGCACGCCTTTAATCCCAGCGCTTGTGAGGCAGAAGCAGGCGGATCTCTGTGAGTTTGAGGCCAGCCTGGTCTATAAGAGCTAGCTCCAGGACAGGCTCCAAAACTACAGCAAACCCTGTCTCGAAAAACCAAACAACAAAACAGCAACAAAAAAGAATCCTTACATTTTGTCTTAGTCACTGTTGTAGTGCTCTGAAGAGACACCATGACCCTGGCAATGTTTATGAAAGAAAACATTTAACTGGTCGCTTGCTTACAGTTTCAGAGGTTTAGTCCATTATCATCATGACAGGGAGTGTGACTGCATACTAGAGGAGAAGGAGAGAGAGAGAGAGAGAGAGAGAGAGAGAGAGAGAGAGAGAGCCTGAGTCTTGAGTGGACTTTTGAAACCTCAACACACACCTCCTCCAGCAAGACCTCCTAGCCCTTCTAATCCTACCGAAGAGTGCCGCTCCGTAAGCATTCAAACACACCAATCTATGGGGGACGTTTTTACTCAAACCACTACACATTTTAACAAAAATCTCAAGTTTTTGTTAAAGTTCAAATATAAAAAGTTCAAAACTGAGCAAAAGATTTTAATAATTTCTTCAAAGAAGAATAAAAACAATTAATCAATAGATGAGAAGATATTCAATATCATTGATCCCTAGGGGAATGCAAACGAAAACAACATACCCCCGACCCCACTGGATGTGCACAACGGAATGATCGCCACAGCAAGGCTTGCCAAGGCTCTGGAGGAACTGGAACCGTGCACTGCCGAGGATGGGTGGTGATGGCTCTGCAGAAACTGAGTTCGCAGCTGCCCCCGAAGTTAAAGGGACAGTTACAAAGGGCGCAGCATTCCACTCCTGGGTATCTATGTGAGACTCACACACACGCTGGTGTGCAAGTTTACACATCTGCTGCTAGCAGCCGCAGGCACAATAGGGGAGACAGAAGTGAATTGTCGGCACACAACTGTAAACCCAGGACTCATGACGTTGATGCAACAGGATCTTGAGCTTGAAGCCAGCTGGGGCTATCAAAAAAAATTTTTTTTTAAAGTAAGCCAGACATGCTAGAAATGCCTGCCATCCCAACACTTGGAAGGCAGAGTCAGGAAGATCAGGTTGAAGGTTATCCTTAGCTACACTGTGAGTTTGCGGCCAACTTGAGTTACAGGAGATCCTTATTCACCACCACCCCGGCCATTTCCTCTCTATTTTTGAAATGGAGTCCCATGTAGCCCAGGCTGGCTAAAAACTCATTATGTAGCTAAAGATGGCGCTGAACTTCTGATCCTTCCACATCCAGAGGGCTGGGATTGCAGGTGCATTTCACCATGCCTGATTTCTCAAAAAAAGAAAGAAAAGAAAAGAAAAAATTAAATAAAGAAAATAGAACAAAGTCAATCAATTCATAGAAAAACTTCCATAGAATGGACTACTATTTGGGTATAAAAGGATGAAATGCTGATACTGCAATATGATGGCCCCTGAAAGAGTGACCAAGTGAAGGACGTCGGACACAAAAGGCTGCATGTCATTTATATAAAGTTCCCAGAACAGGTAAATCTGCAGAAACAGAGAGTAGATGTCAGGGAGGGGAGAATGAATGTTGGGTTTCTTTGGGAGGAGGCTATCCTGTCTCAGACTCTAAGGTAGACAGTGGGAGAAGGCTATCCTATCCACGACTAGAAGGTAGACAGCGGCAATTGTTGCACAAACTTGTAAGGATGATGAAACTCAGTGAACTGCAAATTTTTTTCATCATTTTGGGTTTTAGGCTGTAAATTTTATTTATTTATGTATTTTTAGGTTTTTTGAGACAGGTTTTCTCTTGGTAACAACCCTAACTGTCTCGTAACTCTCTATAGACCAGGCTGGCCTCAAACTCACAGAGATCCACCTGCCTCTGCCTCCTTAGTGCTGGAATCAAAGGCATGTACTACCATGCCTGCTGGTTTTTTCTATAAAGTTTATATATCCCAGATCCAAGCATTTCTTCCACATTTGCAACAATACCTTTGATGTGAACATGTTTATTTGCTATACATTTACTGTGAGAGCATTTTTAACTAATTTTGTTTCTGTTTGGGTTTTTAACGTTTTGTTTTTTATTGTGTGTATTGTGTACACACACGCATGTGCATCCTGACTCATATGGAGCACAGAAGACAGTTATTTCTCTCTTTCTACCACACAAGTCCAGAGATCAAGCAGCTCAGGCCGCCAGCTTTGGCAGTAGCTGACATTCCTACCCAAGCCATCTCACTGTCCCCTGTTTTGGCTTTTAGGACAGGATTCTCCTGTGTTGTCCAAGTTGTTCTCTAGCTCCTGACTACTGAATGTTGAGATGACAAGCATAAGTTACCTTGCCCAGTCTTATTAATTTATTTTTCAAAAACATAAACAAATTGGAGACTAGAGAGATGGCTCAGCGATCAAGAGCGCTTGCTGCTCTTCCAGAGGACTCAGGCTTGGTTCTCCGTTTCCAACACCTACAAGGCAGCTCACAGTGGTCCGTAATTCCAATCCCAGGGGATCTAACATCCTCTCTAGGCTCCGAGGGAACCAGGAACACACGTCATACAGACATAGAAGCAAATAAAACTCCCCTCCACAAGAAATAAACAAGCAACCGTAAAACTCACACACAATAACCAGGCGGTGGTGCACGTCTTCAATCCCAACACTTGGGAGGCAGAGACAGGTGGATCTATGAGTTCGAGGCCAGGCTGGTCTACAGAGCGAGTTCTAGATCAGCCAGGGCTACACAGAGAAACCCTGTCTCCAAAAACAAACACACACACGTACTGCAATGGTAGAGTTCACGAATCCCATTACACACATTTGACTTACTGTTGAAGATTCTTCACCTCACTCTTCTCTTCCTAATCTTGTCCTAAATCAACTGCCACTGCCACCCTGGGTAGCCCCTCAAAACTTCAGTAAGATTCTGCCCCTCCTTGCTCAAACCTTGAGGATTCCCATCTTGCCCCAAGATGTGCTCAAGGACCTCCTGGGACCCCCAAGACCTCCTTCCACTGCCCTTTCTAATTTCTTCTCCCTTACGGACCTCACCCATCCAACTTCAGCTCCTCCACAAAGCAGACATCGCTTACAAAGCAGGTCTTCGCCCTGGAACTGCCTCCTTCTAGAATAGTCTTCATCAGAAATCTGCCTAGTTCCCCATCCCCTAGTTTGAGACAGGCCCCTGGAATGGTCTAGTCTGGCCGTTCTTCCCCATCTGCTCCCCCTCACCTCCCCTAGACTGAGAGCATGGCCTCTAGTCCACTCATGTCATTCTGTGCTCATGAGTTCCTCTCCTACCTCTGGTGTGACCCACATGGGCTTTGGTCTGCTTAGTTCACTGTTGTCCCCAAATGCCAAGAATGGCATATGTCACGTAGTATTGCTCAGGAAATGTTTGTTGAGTGAATGAGTGAGCTCTAAAACCTAAGAAGAAATTAACCAGGGAATGCAATTGAGAAGGGCTGTGGAGAAGGTTCTGGACAGAGACAAAATACGTATAAATGCCCTGGTAAAGTAAGGGCGGGGTGGGGGGAAGGAGGGGTCCACATCTGCCGATCAAACAGAAGGCATGGAGTCATTGGCAGACATCAGCACCACTTCCTGATAGCCAAACACTTCTTCACACACTCTAAGCAAAGCTCGCAGATTTTCTTCTTAACTTGATAATGGGTTATCTTCCAGAAACCGAGCAAACCCCACATGTAACTTAGAAGCGTTCCCACAGTCAGTCATCCTGGCAGAAGGCAGGATGATGCTGCTCCAACCCTTCCCAAGTTAGGCTGAGTCATCAGACTTGCTTTGAAGTGCTCCGGGATGAAGCATGTGGTATTTTAGGGTGGGAGCTTCAAAAGCCAGCGGATAATTCATCTTCCCCTTCCTCCCACCAGAATGATTATGGAAGCAGAGAG